TCTTACAGCCCTGATACTCATTCCTGAGGCAGCAGTACCTGGCCCCTGAGAGACGAGGGAAATTTACAGAGTACTTGTCATGTGTTTACACATGGGTTAGCCCTCTGAGGAGACAGATAACTGTCATACTGTGAAGTGAGCTTGAACTTCACAGGCCACAATACTCAGGCAAAAAAAAAATTTTTTTTTCCTTAACTGTAACTGGGCTTAATTACTCTCTTGAATGTTCACTGTCCGGGCTGGATACCAGGCAAACTCTGAAACTAGTCACTTGAGAGATTCTTACCAACCCCCTTCCGACCAAAGATTGGTTTCTCACCCTGGGAACTTAGGCTGGCGCTGTGGCTTCAGTGGAATAGAGTCCACAGCTCCAACTCGATCTGTGCTGAGGCCATTGTATCCTTTGCTTGCACGCAGCCAGGTCTCCACTGGCAGCACTTCCCACCCCGTGGCTGAGACATGTGAATTCACAGGTCTCCCAGCATCCAGAGTCCACGCGTGATCTCATCAAGGCTGTAACTCCCCTGTGATTCAGAGACAACTTTAGGCTGTTTGCCACTCACAGTCTCAGCCTGTGGGAAGCCCATTGGCAGCCAGGTTGCATGCAGTCCTTCCTTGAGGCTGCCCAAGCAACCCAGGTGGCAACCTGTATTCTGTTCCCCTCGGCCCTCAGAGGCCCGGGAAAGGCCCTGGCTCTGCCACGTCTACCTCTGCTGGGATCCCCTCTGTCCACATCCCAAACTGTGCTGGCCTGAAGGACTTTTCTGTAAAGCCAGGCCGCAGCATCGGACTTTCTTGCCTTTTCTGCAGATTCTCTCTCATCTCTCCCAGCTTTCTTTATCTAGTTTAGATTGGGCCTGAACTGATAGGTTCCAAACTAGAATGAATTTTGTGCTTTATTATTTGTCCCCTCTTACCCCAACAAAATGGCCAAAAGGGGGGGAGTGATGGTAATTATAGGGTAAAATGAGATGGCTCCCCAAAACACAGTGACTAATATGTGATAGTATTATCTAGCCAAAATAGGATTCCTGAGATGTTTATAAGGTAGTTCGGAAGAAAATTTACATACCTTGAAAAAGTGTATACATGGTGAAAGGATTTCCCCATCTTGTTAACACATCTATCACCTTTTGCATGTTAATCTTTTGTGTGTGTATGAGAACATCAAGTTCTACTCTCTTAGCAAATATCAACTATATAATACAGTGTGACCAACTATAGTCACCATGGTTTACATTAGATCCTCAGACTTTATTTATCTTTTAGTTGAAGTTTGTACCCTTTCATCAACCTCTTATTTCCCCAGCCCCTGGCCCCTGGCAACCACTTTTTTACTTTCTGTTTCTATGAGTTTGACTTTTTTTAGATTCCCCATGTAAGTGATCCCATGCAGTATTTGTCTTTCTCTGTCTGACTTATTTTACTTTGTGTCATGCCCTCAAGGTCCATCCATGTTGTCACAAATGCCAGGATTTCCTTCTTTCTCGTGGCTAAATAATATTCCATTGTGTACGTATGTATAAGTGTGTGTGTACACACACACACATACACACATACTACATCTTCTTTATCCATTCATCAGTTATGGACACAGATTGTTTCCATATCTTAACATTGTGAATAATGCTGCAGTGAACATGGAAGTAAGATATTTCTTTGAGATCCTGTTTTCATTTTCTTTGAATATATACTCAGAAGTGGGATTGCTGGATCATATGGTATTTCTATTTTTAATTTTTTTAGAAACTTCCATACTGTTTTCTATAGTGGCTGCACCAATTCACATTCCCACCAATAGTGTACAAGGGTTCCCTTTTCTGCATGTCATTGCCAACACCTGTTGTCACTGGTCTTTTTGATGAGAACCATCCTAACAGGTGTGAGGTGACAGTTCACTGTGGTTTTGGTTTGCATTTCCCTGATTATTAGTACTGTGGAAGACCTTTTCATGTATGTGTTGGCCACCTGTTGGTCTTCTTTGGAAAAATCTCTATCCAGGTCCTCTATGCATTTTTTAATCAGATTGATTGTTTCTTTGCTATTGAATTGCATGAGTTCTTACATATATTTGGATTATCACATGTATGATTTGCAGATATTTTCTCCCATTCTGTAGGTTGCCTCTTCCATTTGGCTGGTAGTGTCCTTTGCTGTGCAGAAGCTTTTAGTTTGATGTAGCTTCTTATTTACTTTTGCTTTTGTTGCCTTCACTTTGGGGGTCAAATCCAAAAAAATCATTGTGAAGACCCACAGGTTCTTTATCAGATGTAATTTGCAAATATTTTCCCCAGTCTGTTGGTTATCTTTTTACTTTTATTAGTAGTATCTTTTTATAATTGTTTCATTGAGATGCAATTCATATACCATACAATTCACCCTCCTGAAGTATACAATTCAGTGATTTTTAATATACTCACAGAGTTGTGTAACCATCACTAAAATCAAATTTTAGAACATTTCATCACCCCCAAAAAGAGCCCTACACCCATTAGTACTCACTTCTTTTTCCTTCCAAGATCCTCAACCCAAGACAACCAGACACTTTCCATCTGTATGGACTTGCCTATTCTGAACAGTTCATATAAATGGAATCAAACAATATGTGGTCTTTGGTGACTGGCTTCTTTTACTTAGCATATTTCCAAGGTTCATCCATGTTGTAGCATGTACCAGTACTTTGTTTCATTAGTACAATCATCTCGTTGTAAGAATATACGACATTTTGTTTAAATCATTCATCAGTTGATGTACATTTGGATTGTTTCCCATTTGTGGCTATTATGTACAATGCTGCTATGAACACTTGTATACAGATTTTTGTGTAGACATATGCTTTTATTTCTCTTTGGTATATATATCTAGGAATGGATTGCTGGGTCATATGGTACTCAAAGTTTAGCCCTTTGAGAAACTGCCAGACTGTTTTCTAAAGCAGCCATGCCATTTTACAGTCCTACCAGCTGCTTATGAGAGTTCCAGTTTTTTCGCATCCTTGCCAACACTTGTTATTTTTTCTTAAATGGCCATCTTAATGGGTGTGACATGGTTTCTCACTGTGGTTTTAATTTACATTTCCCTAATGGCTAATAATGTTGAGCATCTTTTCATGTACTTATTTGACATTTGATGTGTTCTTTGAAGAAATGTCTATTCAGATCCTTTGCCCATTTTTAAATTACGTTACTTGTCCTTTTACTACTGTGCATTTAAGAGTTTTTATATATTCTCGATACAAGTCCCTTATCAGATAAATCATTTGCAAAGATTTTCTCCCATTCTGTGAGTGGATTTTTCACTTTCTTAAAGATGTCCTTTGGAAAAAGTTTTTGATATCAAGTCCAATTTATTTTTTCTTTTGTAGTTTAGGCTTTTTGTGTCATATCTAAAAAGTCATTGCCTAACTTTTTCTTATAAGAGTTTTATAATTTTTGTTCTTATATTTAGTGTGATCCATTTTGAGTTAGTTTTTGCATATCATGTGAGGCAAGGGTCTAAGTTCACATTTATTTGTATCATGGAAAGATCTCAAAAAGTATACTAAGGGATAAAAGCAAATTGCACAATTATAAGCACAGTGTGATACCATTCATGAAAAATTTGAAAGCATGAAATATCATGTATTATGCAGTTACATATGTACACCTATGTGAGAAATGTTAGTCCAGAAGCTTCGGTAATGGTTGCCTCTGAAGGGATAAGCAGAGGAGATGAGACTAGAAAGAACTGGTGGTCAAAGGGGTCTTCAGATTTATCTACAGTGTTTTTAGGTTGAAATAATTTTGACAAAATATTGACAATTATCAATTTGGGTGTTGTGTTATACTTTTTACTTTTCTGTATTCTTTAAATTTATGAAATTAAAATATACACACATATATACCCATACACACAAGTCAGTGTAAACAGTGGAGAACAAAGCATTCCTATGTATTCCAGAAGCATTGAGATGAGGCGTGCATATAGCCTGTTAGCTTATTCAGGGCAAATTCTGTTTGTTTGTAGGATGTCTGAGCTAGATTTCAAAAAGATAATTATCTTCATTTGAACTCATTTGGCTTCTATTTCCTCAGTTTTGCTTCCATAGAAAACCCCATACTATATGTATACCTACTTTCCCTTACTCCAAAGAGCAGCAGAGCCCAAATCTCAGTGAGCTCCCTTTAACTAGGGTTTTAAAATTTTATCCCTTTGTTCTGAGCTTTCTCTAAAACTGTATCAGAGTCTTCACGAGGAAAGTTCAGTTTCCACTAAATATGTGTCCATTCTCATCTAGTCCACACAGGGTGGCCCACAAAAGACCTCACCATGTGCATTTAACAAGTGCAGTGTGAGAGGTCAAGTGACCTGCTCCTGGGAAGCAGCCAGCAGCCCAGCTCCCAACACACAAGCTCAGGTTCCATGTGGTCTGGGAGCTGCAGGGGTGTGCAGTGCCTATCATTGCCCTCGGAGTAGAAGGGGTCATTCAACATCTCCCAGTTACGTAGCCTGACATAAAGCTCTTACTCTCTCCATCCTTGTTCTTCTTCTATAAAACACATACAAAAATATATGTCCTTTCTTCTCATAAGTTGTGAGGATCAAGTGAGGTAATGTGCATGAATGTGTTTGCAAACAAAAATGAAAGGTATTTGTGTAGTATTGACCCCGACCCCTCTCACACCATCAGCCCAGCTGCTCTTCTCAGGGTATCCACCAGGAAGGCCCCGGCCTCTCTGGGCCAGCCTCTGTGCTCCTCCCACTTTCAGTCCAATCTTATGGCCTTCTCTCCTCCTCCACCCTCCTCCCCATTTGCTCTGTCCCCCCTCTCCCTTTTTACCTTTTGTCTCTCCATTCTTGCAGGCAGCCTGACTCCTTTCAAATGTGATCATGTGGTGCATTGCATCACGAAACTGAAGCCCTGTCGGCTGGCTCAGATGGACTCAGATAAAGGATTTTTCCCCTTCTTCAAAGAGGTCAGATACCTGAGATAACATGTTTTGTCTCTTTGATTCTCCCAGGCTCAGGCCACAGGATCACCACATACATCGCCCACTCACGGAGGCGGCCGCCCAATACCCATGCCTGTCCGCTCAACATCTGCTGGCTCCACCCCCACCCACTGTCCACAGGACCCCCTGAGTGGAGTCGGCGGAGACATGCAGGAGGCCTTCGCACAAGGTGAGTTTCAGAAGCAAAGCATAATGGAGAACAGAGTATGCTTACCTTTAAATGAACAGATTTTCATATATAGTAAAAGTAAGTCAAATGCTGTCCCCTCCTCATTAAATGGACTGGTCTCCAGGAAGAGGGCTGCAGGCTTTGTATGTCTGTGAAAAACAGGCGTCTGGGCTTCTTGCTCTTTTTTCTGGGTTATGGGAAGTGCCTTGTTCTCTGGGCTCTGCCTCATCCAGAGGAATTGGATGGAGTAATTCCCAAAGTCAAGTGGTTGGCCTGGGAGTCTTTAGAGCAAGCAAGAGAAGGAAGAGGGACTCTCAATAGAACCTTAGTGAGGCACATTTGCCATTGGATTGCCACAGGCATCTAAGGAACTGGTGGCCAGCACTACTACATAGCTGGGGGAGGACGAGGCGGCTGAGCAAGTCTTGTTGGGGTGGAGATGAAGAGCAGGAGATGGTGGTCCTGGAGATGAAGTCCTGCCAGGGCTAAGGAACGCCATGGAGCAGTGTTTGTTCTACAAGCCAGTTCTTCTGACTGTGGCTAAGAAGCATGGAGTTGACAGGGTCCTGCTCTGTGGGTAGAGAAGAAGAGGGGCGAGACCAATGGACTGCGTACCTCAGGGTGGTGGCTGCCATGGCCCTGTCTCTTCTTAGGTGTTCCACACCGTGTGCAGGGCCTGGCAGACTGAGGTGTATGCGCAGCTCTCCTCTGTGCCCACCCACTGGCATCGCCATCTGCTCTGACTCTCCTCAGGTACGAGGAGAAACCTCCGCAATGACCTGCTGGTGGCTGCGGACTCCATCACCAACACCATGTCATCCCTGGTGAAGGAGCTGCACTCAGGTGATGCCTGGAGCTCCCGCCAGCCTCATGCCTCCCTCCATACCCACGCCCTCCTCGCTTCCTCTCTGCGTGGTAGTGCACACGCCTCCTCACTGCCCGCTCAACCTCTTTGCTTCTAGGAACACACTGGAGTCTCCACCCAGAGCCTCTCTCTCAAACGTGATCATACAGAGATGATTACACACTTAGGTTTCTCTTAAGAATACACCTTGTGGAGCAAACAGCTGAGAATTTAAAGACATTCAGCTCTTAAGTACAGTGAGGCCCCTTCCTCGCTTAACCTGCCTTCCATCTGCACTCTATCCCAGCTGCTCTTTCCCCAGGCCTGATCCACTGCCTCATTCTGAGGGTTTCTTGGATGACTGGAACTGAATCAGCCACAGAAGCTTCTGGACTCTCTCACAGCCACCTTCCTGCTTTCTCCTACTTGATTTGGTTTTGAAAACCTCTTCTCTCCTTTTGTCCCTGAGTAGCCTCTGGTGTCACCTGACTTTCATCACCTGAGCCTGGTGCTTCCTTCACTCCTCACATTCAGTCTAACCTATGACTTTTCTCCCAGTCTCTCCATCACTTAGATTTTCCAGAAACCCTTACCTCATGGCATTTTCCCCTTTACATTAAACCCAGAAAAGAAAGAAAAATACAAAGTCATCCCTATATCATCACATCTTCGAGAATCCCCATGACTTTATCAGTTTTGTAGCTGCCAGGTATTTGCTAACTTTTTTCTACAGTGGGTCATATTCCCATGTTCCATGTTAAACTGATGGTTCCCTTCCCTAGTGCTGTACATCATTTGTACAAGGGGCCTCTTTGTTTCTTATCACCTAATGTAGTGCTGTTATATACCTTGAAGTAGCCTATAAGGTTATTAAGTAAAAATACAAAGCAGTTTTTCCATGGGCCGTTCAAACATACACATTGAAATTATTAGCCCATGCTCTTAGGAAAGGCAAACCTTGGGTACTGCTTCTGACCTTTGCAGGAGAAAGCACTTACCATTGGTGGTGTTAATGGGACCAGACCAAGATCTGACCCACTTCACTCTCAAATCTGCCCATTTTCATTTAGAAGTGAAAAGTCTATGGCATAAGTTGGTTTTTCCAATGCAGTTAAGATAGGATGCCAACTCCCCCGTGCAGGGAGTGCCACAGGGACACTGTCTCTGTTCCGGCACTGCTTCTCAAGTCCCATCAGAAGCACTGCCCCCTCCATGCACATGCACACATAACAAGAGGTGGCCACCTTTCAGATGGCACCACAGGCAATTGAAAGTCCCTCCCCTAATATAACTTCCCATAGATGCCAGAAATCCCACTTTCAAAGGGAATTTCTCGGGAGATTTCAGGCCATGGAAATCAAGCAGATTTCAGACATATGTCTCACAGCCACTTATTAGGGTTTATGCAAAACCAATGGCTCATGAGCTCATCACACTAGGCTGAGAGATAGTCAGACATCATTAAACACAAAGTACACAGAGACCAAATAGCTTCACAAAAGCCACAGGTTTATAGGGATTCTCAGTAATCTCTCACAGGAAGAAAGGAAAGGATCATGTAATATATTTAGAAGGTACCTTGGAGAGCCCATAGTCCAATCCTCTTTAGAAATACAGCATGTGATTGTCAGGAAAGTGATTTGCCTCAAGTTGGGCAACTCAAAGGGGCAAAGCTGGTCCTAGAATTTAGGTGGTAAGGATATTAATCTGAAGCCCTTTGAATCTAATTAATAAGGTTGTCCTCACCCAGGACAAGATGTCAAACCTGCAGTGCCATGAGGGCCCCTTTCACTGATGCTCTGCTCTCTCAAGCAATCAAGCCCATAGGTAGTCCATGTCCACACTTGGCACATAGCTCTATAAAATGCAGAAATAAACACCCCTTACATGTGAGGCTGCCAGTTTTTCAGGGAACAGAAGATCCTTGCCCCAACCGACACATTTTTACTGTCACCGTCAAGGTATTTTTTAGGATAGCATTAGATATTCAGATTATCCTTATGTATGTCCTGTACTGTGTGGACATACTATTTAAATCCATAGCTTGCACTCCTTGTCTTTTTTGAAAAATGTTCACAGATAATGGAATCTTCGAGTTGGAAGGGATTTTAGGAGTTACTTAATCCAGCCGCCTGCTACAAAATTCCTCTGTTTGAAAATTTCCAGTGAGCTCATTCATTCATGACCAGCTCTGATCAGTGGGAAGTTCTTCCTTATCAGGGAGCCAAAATCTGCCTTTCTATAACCAGTTTATCCTTGTTCTACCCTCCGAAGCTACCCAGAGTAAGATCAGTCCCTCCTACTCATGTTAGCCTCTCAAATATTTGATGGCAGATAGTGTGGCTCTCCTTAAGCCTTGTGCTCCTTAGGCCACTCTTCGCAGTTTCTTCAGCCATTCCTAACGTGCCACGGTTTTCACTTTACCATCCTGCCTGCCCCGCCTGGGATGTGGCCAAGTATTTCAAGGCCCCAATTCCAAGTGAGCTCTCAGGGCTGAGCCCACTTTTCCATGTAACCAGGGATCTTCAACCTAGAGCACAGTGAACTGTGACCTCCCCGAGTGGGCCCCCGGGAGAACAACCTTAGATAGCATGAGCTTTTGTCCACACAGCCTCCTAGCACTGTTCACTAACTTTAAGTTTGTTGTCAGCTAAAACCTACAGTGTTTTTTCCTACAGAAGCCAGTGTTAATCTAGGTATTCCCCTCCCACCCCCCACCCCGGGCACTTTTATGGTTGCCTCTTTGAACCTGAATGCAAGGTACGAGGTGTATCTCTAGTAGAGATACAGGCATAGAGAAAACAGCTTTGAGCAAAGGTAGCCACCCCCCACCCCAGTCACCAGGGAAGCCAACAGCAGAGTGGGTGACATTAGACTGGGCTCCTTCTATGGCTCAGGGCTTAGAGGTAAACAGCACGGGGCAGGGACCGCACGGGGCAGGGACCACACGGGGAGTAGACTAGGCGAGTTAAGCGCCCGTGAGCCTTTAGGGCTTCACCCCAAGCCTCCTGAGTTATTCCCTCCACCCTCCTCCTCTGCTTGTACTGTGCTGAAGGGTCACTGGCCTCCTTGGACTTGTTTCCACAGCAGAGGAAGGTGCAGAGGAAGAAGAAGAGAAGATGCAGAATGGGAAAGACAGAGGTAAAGGCAGATCACCAGGACCCCTAGGTTGAATGGAAGCCAGAGCTATAGCCCCCAAATGAAATCCCCTCCTCCCTTTTGTTTCTGCTTCCTTCCTGCAGGCACCTTTCCCCAAAGTTTTAGACCCCCACAGTTCCCTTTACTTGCTTCTCCTGACTGCCAGGTGTTCCCTAGAGGTGGTAGTGTCTCTCGATCAACAGAAGCTTCCTGACTTCCTAATGCTATGATAAATGGTTGGGATACAGGAAGTAGATGCCAGTAAAGCACAAAACATGATCCCTTATGACTCAAACATAACCCAAGGAGTTTATAATAGAGCTAGGAAGCAAGACCAAGTATACAGAATAAATAGGAGATAACAAGTGGCAGGAGAAGTTAATCAGAAAGCTTAGAGTGTATGATTATAAATACAAGAAGCATTTCTGAAATGGAAAAAATTATTATGGGCAGAATAACCAAATGGTTTTGTGGCCTTGGAAGCATTAAAAGCAGTAAAGAAAAGCATCCTCAAAGGGCAGTAACACTTCCTAGATTTATTGTGTATAAAACCTACTTAATAACTTGTATACGAAGAGCTGTGCTAAATGGTTTCCACATATAATCTCATTTAATCCTAACAACCCTATGAAATATATAATAATACCCCATTTTACCAGTGAGGAGATGGGCTCAGAGAAATTTAGGTCATGTAGCTGTTAAGTGGCAGGGATTGGGTTTGAACGGTGTCTTTCTGACTCCAAACCTCATGGCTCTTAATATTCATATTTCTGTGTTACACTGAACAGATAACAAAATTCTCTTTGAACGTTTGAGAGTCAGTTGGTATTTCTGTCACATATTAATATGCTTAATGCTAATTTATCCAAAAGGCCAATGCCCCAATGCAGAGATTTTGGTCTGTCTTGTTCAGGTTGGATCTCCAATGCCTAGAACAGTGCCTAGCACACAGTGGAATGTCAGTAAATTAACAGCCGTAAGGAAATAAACAGGGTGACGTGCTGAAGAGTCCTTTGTCAGGGAGGGTGAGGGAGGGGCTGGCCTGAGGAGGTCAAGGTGTGCAAGACAGGAAGGAGCCAGCACCTGCTCTCTCAGCAGTGGGGCACTTACACCCCTCCTGTTTGCACTGCCCCAAGCAGGGAGGATCCCCCACAGGGCTCAGAGCCGGGACGGAACTTGCCCAGGCACTGCAGGGCTGAGCCCAGATTCAGCCCCGGTATCTCCCAGCTCCAGTGTCCAGTCTGCTCCAGTGTCTGACTAGCAGACCCGTAGACTAAGTGAAGTGGCAAAAGTCTTAAGGAAAGGAAGATGGCCAGTGGGAGATAGAGGTGAGGAAGCCATGATGGAAAGGTGGAGGGGAGCGCCTTGGGAGGGCTCTGCAGCATCGTTTCCCGAAGGGGTGAGTGTGGGTAAGAGAGGCAGGACTCTGAAGTAGCCAGGGAAGAAACTGGTAGACAAGGACAAACATACTCCAGATGCTGAACCTGAGAGTGTCAGTCAGGATGGGGCCTGGGAGAAAGTGGGCCATAGCTATGATGAGTTGGTGACAGTGACATACTTGGCATGGCTGTCAAAAGGTCAGAAGTAGAAGGCAGCAATTTGAAATATCTAGAAATACCAAGAATCTAGAAAAGACTGACTTCCCCATGCCGATAGAGGATGAGGAAGATGGCAGGAGGGAGGTAGTGCAAGAGGTGAAGAGAGGAGGAGATACACAGAGATACATTCACACTTAAGTAAACACATACTCCCAACACATGCACACGCATGCACGTGCACACACACAGTCTGGCCAGATCCCAACATTCATGTGGAATGTTCTTGGCTGAAGAAGGAGGGATGTAAGTGCCCCGCCGCTGAGAGTAACAGCTGCTGCTTTGGCCTCTCCTCACATACCCCCTTGCCTCCCCAGTAGCTTTTCCCATGCCTCCCCTCAGTCCCCTTCCTCTCCCCGGAAGCACACAGAGGACTCTGCCCTGACCACTGGGCCTTGCCCTGACTGTGGACTCCAGCCCTTCGTCCTGGTTCTGGTCTGGGTGCCGGCTGCATCTCACATGTGCCTGGGCATGGCTTCCTCTGTCTTTGCACCTGTGCTGCCCTGTCAGTATCTCTTCTTTCTGTCCCTCTTGCTCTTAGTATCTACCTCTCTCTCTCTCAGTGCATATACTAGAGTTTCTGTGTGTCTCTGTGGAATCTTTTTTGAGAGAATGCCTGAATTTGTATTCCTGTGGCTTAGGTGTTGTCCCCAACGGGAAGAGCTCTCAGAGTTAGGGTAAGAGATGGGTCAGGTTTTTAAAAACTGTTTGGTCTGGTACAGGTCCTAGGATATGTCCCTGTAGCTGAAATGTAACTGTTATGTGGGTGTAGTTACAAAACCAAGTGTTTTTATGGATGGACCTTCTGATTCTCTGCCACGATTTGAGCATGGTACCTTACTATAAACTGATACCGCAGTAACTAGTGTCACATAGGCATTAGAAAGCAGTAACAATCAGCATTAAAAAGAGATTTGTGTCTTTCGGGTTGAAGTCATGCTGGCATAGAATCAACACAACTTGGTCAACACCCTGTTAGGACTTTCCAGCCACATTCGGCCCTGCCCTAGGCCTCTCCCTGCCCTACCCTGGCTCTCTGGGTAATGCTGGGGAATGCTTCTGCCCCACTGGGGTACCCTTCCTACTTTGCATCCCCTCACCCCTCACCTCGTACTTGGACTCACTAATGAGTATTGTAACCAAGACTGCATAGATAAAACATAGACTAGTGGAACTCACCCCAGATCACTCCACAGCCCTAAATTCATCTCACCTACACCAGAGCCCCATGTTATGCTCCTGTGTCCTTCAGAAGCACCTCTCCCTAAACCGCCATCCATGGTGGTGGGAGCTGTAGATCCAGTTTGCATACTTAGTGCTTCTGCATGTCTGGTAGGCTGACTGCCATGGTCCTCTGTGAGCAGACACAAGCTTTCGAAGGTCCAGGCAGGCAGTGTTCGAGATTCCAAGGTGAGCAAGAGTACGACTTAGCATTCCCACACAACTATGCTTGCAGGAAGGAAATACTGCCCTTATCAAAGTTTAACTCACTTTCACCTTGCTCACTTCCAGAACCAAATGGGCTGACATAACTGCTTCCTAGATTTAAGGTGGCTTCGTTTCCATTTCAGTATTATTTTCCTTCTCCTGAGCAGCACTGTCTCCCTGGCTGTTTGATGTCAGTTGCAGCTGCCTGTTGTAGGTAGTGTGACTCTCCCCACTGTTTCAGAAAAAGCAGACATATGGAGAGCAAAGGGGAGAGGCAATTCCAGGAGCCCATGAGTGTGCTGGGCCAGGGAACCCCTGTGAGGGGAGATCCAGGGTGGTGAGGAGACCCTGGGTGTGATCTCGGTGTGTTGTTTGTATCCCTGCCGCACAGGTTAGCAGAGAAGCCAGGACAGAGAGGCCGTGCAGGTGAGTACAGCATTCTCTGCTCCCACTCTCCTCTGCCCACAGCCCTTTCCTTGGTCACACTTGCCAAGCCAGAGCCATCTGAACAGAGCCCAGTGGGACCCTTCTCTTTGCCCCAGCCCCATCAGCATACCTCCTTGGCCTGGTGTCTGGGTGCTGACCTACCTTGCGCTGTACTGGGCCTGGGCCTCAGGCGTGCCTCAGTGTCCCAAGTCTGCATGCCACTGGCAGATGCATCTGGCTGGGAAGGCTCTGGAAGCAGGTGTCAGAGGTCCACTGAGAGCCACCCACTTCCCGGGGTTGCCTCTCCTTGCCCCTGATTTCCCTCAACCACTGTCATTCCTCTCTGGGGGTCCAAACCACCGCTGGTGCACCCCTGGGGTTCCACCACCCAGAGCTGTAACCTGCCACAGTATCTGACTGCAGATACACACTTCTCCATAAAGCCCACCAACTCCATAAAGCCCACCACGCCTTTTGCAGGATGCCTGACCATGCTCTATCTTCTCACTTCTTAAATAAAATTAATGAAAGTCCAGATTTCCCCAGAGGCAAATGTCCATTGCCTCCAGGAATTAGCCTTCACATTTTTCCATCTCAGGATCTTAATGCCTATACCACCCAGTTCCAAGATATTGCAGCTTCTGGGCATGCTCACCAAAAGGAAGGGACGAAAACAACTGGACAACAATCTGTTCAGGAGAAGAGTTTTTTCAAGGATAGATGCCTTCGAGGCATCCATAAGATTTCTATCTATTTTTCAATTTTTCTCCCCTCCCTTCTCCACTTCTTATATTTAAAAGTTAGTCCATCTTCCTCAGGTACAGACCTTCCAGGCAGAAAAGCTGTGCAGCCCTACGATCCAGAAAAGGAGCTTTCCCAGATCCTTCCTGCAGTCTCATGGTGGGGGCAGGTTCTGGGACCTTGACCCCTCCGCATCTGCACCAGGCCCTGGAGGGGCTCTCTTCTGCTCACTCCCCAAGACTGCCCTCTCTGAGCCTGTCCAGACTTGGGGATCGTGCACACTATGGATAGGTAGCACCCAAGCTGCAGAAATTCTCTCACTGCCCGAGAAATTACAGAGCCTCGAGGGCTTGGCCAGGCTTTTGCCTAAACTCACTGCATTATCAGGCGAGGCCTTCCCTGAAAGCAAGTCTAGGCTGCCACAGCCAACAAGGGAGTCAGGAGCTGACTTGCCCTTCGGGAGCCTGCCAGAGCCCCACTCCCCGGGGCACAGGGAGCTGGGCAATGAGGAAGGGCAGGCCAGAACCACGTGGCCAAGCCCTCTGTGCAGAGGGGAGACTAAGACCCACCACCCAAGAGCTTTGGTGTCAGAACTTGAATCAGAGCTGGGTCTGCTGGTCCCAGTGCTGCCGGATGACCCCCATCAGGAGTTATGAGTAACTCACCAACACTAGAGTCAAATGAAAAGCATAAAAACTCAGCCAGCATGAGGCAAAGGCCTTCTCTACTCAGTATTTACAGGCACAGCCCAACCTCTTTGTGCTCCTCCCCAGTCACAATCCTTCTTCCCAAGAAACCACCATATTGCAACCTTTCACCACGAACCCAGCTCTTTCTTTTCCTGGAAAAGTCCTGTCCCTGTGCCCTGAGCACCAACTCCAAAGATGCTAGGACCCCCCGGAAGTGGGGGAGCACCCCTTTCCCTTAGACATTGTAAGGTGTGAGTCTTGTGAGCTTGTTCCATCTCCGGATGAAAGGACAGCACCCCCGCAGCTGCCTGGTCCCCAGCAGAGGTTAGCATGTGGCGGGAGACCCTGGGCAGTGCCCTGAGACAGTGTCTGCCCTGCCCAGGCACCGGGGACATGCGGCAAGCTGGCATCGACACAAGGAAGGCGAGGTCCTCCCCCAGAGGCACATTCCTGTCCATCTTTCTGCTGCACACCTGGACCAGGCCTGCAGGCTGCCAGATGTCACCACCTGCCAGGGAGAGGGGAGATGCTTCACCCCAGCGGGTGGGAAGTGGGAGGGACCGCCCAGTGCTGCTGCTGGTGGGCCTCCCCCTTGCACAGTCCTGCATGAACTAGCATCTTCCTCACTCCCCTCTGGGCATGGTCTCATCTCTGCAACAGGAATTTACCTGGTGGTTGACAAGAGAAAAGAAAACAGCACGAATCTCCTGTGTGTGTGACCTAATGGGGTTCTTGCTGGCATCTTGCCAGCACGTGGGGTGCTCCGGGGGTGGGGTGGAGCACAACTTTCCTCCCGACTTTTGACCTTTAAAAGCCAACAGGTTTTCTTCCCCGTGCAAAAGACAGCTTCAGGCCCGGCTCAGTTCTACATTCACACCCAGGCCACAGTGCTAAAAATAGCCTCCTTCCTTTCTTTCACACTGCTTGGGCTTCCGCCCCGTGCCGCCGCGGCTCTGCAGCCCTGGCGGGAAGGGAGAGCACAGAGCTCTGCACTGCAAGCCCGGGGCGGCTCCTCCTCCTCAGAGGATTCTGTGCAGTAACCCGGGCCGTCCGGCAGGGAGCACTGAGCCGTGACCGCCAGGGGGAGCCTCGACCCCGGGGTGCGGCGCTCACGCAGCCGCCACCGACTCGGGGTTCCTTCCATTCTGCTCTGGCACGCGTGATAGTCAATCCCAATTCCTGGTGATTTTCATTTATTTTTTTTCTCCTCTCTGGGCTCCAGGATGTTATTTTTAGTAGAAGAACTGCAATAAATATTTATAAAGGGCAGTGACTGGAATGAAGTGAGGCCCCACAGCTGGTTGTCCAATCCCCCTCAACTCACGCCTCTGCAGACCCCTGCCCGCTGCCCAGGGAAGTCTGCAGAGCTTGGGGGCCAGCCGGCAGCCACACAGGGAGAGTCTCATGGAGACCTCTTGAGGAAGCAGGCAGGGGAAAAGAGAGAGGGCCTACTCTCTCATCCTTCCTTCTCCATGCGTCTCTGCTCCCTGGACGCCTCCCATTTCCTCCTTCCTAAAGAAGTGAAGGCTTGTGCGAGGGAGCGCCATACTCTGCGAGGCCCCCTTGCTCAGGGTCAGGAGTACTGGGCATGAGGGGCAGGTGCAGCTGGGTTGCTCCAGCAGTGTGCGAGCAAGGAGGAAACAGGAGCTGGTTTCCTCCCCCGTGAGAAGAACACTGCCCCTTGGGACCTCAGAAGCGGCCGCCAGGCCTGGTGGGGGGCTTGCCTCCCAGAGCAGCTCTGCCGAGGCTCACACTGTGACCAGCAGTGGGCTGGGGCCCTGGAGAGCCAGCAGGGGCTCCGGTAGGAGAAAAACACTGGTAACTGGTGCTCTACACAGGAGACAGGGATCTGGGCCTGCCTGGAGGACCAGAAGGGGCAAGGTGAGAGTAACCATGCAGAAAGTTCTAGGGGGGACACTCAGTGCCAACCAATGGCGAGATTAGGTTTGGAGGTTGCTGCAAGTTCTCAGATGACCCTGTTGGGTGACAGTGCTTTCCCCCATAATCCTGACTTCTCACACTTTGTACCACCCCTGAAGAAGACCCCCACTTTCCTGGTCCTCACAGAAACTGCTTCATCTTCCAGAGCAGAAAGAGCAAAAAGAACAGTCAAATTAGAAGTACCAATGGCTCCCAACTAGCCAAGTGCTCAGGCCAGCTGGGGTGCTTTGGCAGTGTCTTCTGGGCACAGTGTGGCTCATCAGGCTCCTAACTGCTCAGCAAGTTCTCTTTCTGTCCACTTGCCTTGGTGAAGGAGTAGCCTCAACATCTTCCGCCACAGGAGAGGCTCTGAACTCCCAGCTTCTAACAGCACCTCAAGATGGTAAGGGGGGCTGGAGAGAGCCACAGGGATGAACTCAGAAGCCAGCATGATGGGGCATGTGTTCCATTTCTATATAAATTACTACTGACAGTTGGCTTCGTTTAAAGCTAGAATATCCACCATTATCTCAGATCCCTGAGGTACCCTGACTTCTTGGCATCTGCTTGAGAATGCAGACCCATCTCAGAAGCTTGAAGTGTGTCCTTTCCTTAACACTGGAACATAGGTGGTTATCCTGTCATGGGCACTTCCTTCTTAATTGCTCTGTGACCATTTAGGAGCCCAGTTTAACCAAAGTAGGTGATCTTTTGAGAGCATTTATATATATTGTCAGCATCATGGGCCCCCTGGGCTAGTGCTGTTTCATATCTACGAAGACCCCTGGAGAGGTCCTAAATGCATCCTGGGTCTTGAGGAAGCCACAGCCCCACCAAGCTCAGGTCCATAAATCCCAGCCACGCTGAGCTTCCATTTGTTTCCACAGCCCCCGCATTCTGCTGGCTGTGCTTCATCCACCGGCAGACTCCCCCTCTTCTGCACTGCTTACTCCCTGCTCCTGTAGTCTGACAGCTTCAGAAAGGTACAGTTGCTATGGCAATGCCTAGAGCCATCTGAATTCCTGCTGCACCCTCTGGAAGAAGAGGGCTCCTGAAGAGCCATTCTGTGGATTCCAAATCTAGCCTTCCCTGGCCTCTCCTCCATCAGGGGTCATATGGCTGTTACAGACTGAGGAATGGAAGGTAGGTAGCCCATCTTCCTTGGGAAGATACCCTCCGTAGCTGCGAGCCACATGCCCCCCGGACAGTTCTGTGCGTGTGGATCATAACATGAAGTGAGACTCCCTGCCTGGGGCTCTTAGGTGTGATATAATACCTGTGGCTCTCAGACTTCAAATCAGAATCCCCTGGAGGCTTTGAATAAGGATCCCCTAGAGGACTTTGTAATGTATGGATAGCTGGGTCTCACCGCCAGAATTTCTGATTTGGTAGCTGTGGGTGGAGCAGGCGGTGGTGGTACTGTAGGTCGAAAGACCACACTGTGAGGATCACCGTGCAATTTTAGGAGGAGAAAAGCATCCACATCAGTGCAAAGAGCCTTCACGTATCAGGTGGCAAAAGGCCAGAGTCTGCTATCTCTTCCAGAAGAAAAAGAAGGGGGCTCGTACAGTCACATTTCTTGGTGAGGGGCCCTGGGGAACGTGTGCTAGGACTGTGGTCTTACGCTGTGGTTCTTGGTTCCCAACAAGACCTTCCCCTAGACATGAAGAAGGTGTGATAGTCAATCCCAATTCCTGGTGATTTTCATTTATTTTTTTTCTCCTCTCTGGGCTCCAGGATGTTATTTTTAGTAGAAGAACTGCAATAAATATTTATAAAGGGCAGTGACTGGAATGAAGTGAGGCCCCACAGCTGGTTGTCCAATCCCCCTCAACTCACGCCTCTGCAGACCCCTGCCCGCTGCCCAGGGAAGTCTGTGCAGAGCTTGGGGGCCAGCCGGCAGCCACACAGGGAGAGTCTCATGGAGACCTCTTGAGGAAGCAGGCAGGGGAAAAGAGAGAGGGCCTACTCTCTCATCCTTCCTTCTCCATGCGTCTCTGCTCCCTGGACGCCTCCCATTTCCTCCTTCCTAAAGAAGTGAAGGCTTGTGCGAGGGAGCGCCATACTCTGCGAGGCCCCCTTGCTCAGGGTCAGGAGTACTGGGCATGAGGGGCAGGTGCAGCTGGGTTGCTCCAGCAGTGTGCGAGCAAGGAGGAAACAGGAGCTGGTTTCCTCCCCCGTGAGAAGAACACTGCCCCTTGGGACCTCAGAAGCGGCCGCCAGGCCTGGTGGGGGGCTTGCCTCCCAGAGCAGCTCTGCCGAGGCTCACACTGTGACCAGCAGTGGGCTGGGGCCCTGGAGAGCCAGCAGGGGCTCCGGTAGGAGAAAAACACTGGTAACTGGTGCTCTACACAGGAGACAGGGATCTGGGCCTGCCTGGAGGACCAGAAGGGGCAAGGTGAGAGTAACCATGCAGAAAGTTCTAGGGGGGACACTCAGTGCCAACCAATGGCGAGATTAGGTTTGGAGGTTGCTGCAAGTTCTCAGATGACCCTGTTGGGTGACAGTGCTTTCCCCCATAATCCTGACTTCTCACACTTTGTACCACCCCTGAAGAAGACCCCCACTTTCCTGGTCCTCACAGAAACTGCTTCATCTTCCAGAGCAGAAAGAGCAAAAAGAACAGTCAAATTAGAAGTACCGATGGCTCCCAACTAGCCAAGTGCTCAGGCCAGCTGGGGTGCTTTGGCAGTGTCTTCTGGGCACAGTGTGGCTCATCAGGCTCCTAACTGCTCAGCAAGTTCTCTTTCTGTCCACTTGCCTTGGTGAAGGAGTAGCCTCAACATCTTCCGCCACAGGAGAGGCTCTGAACTCCCAGCTTCTAACAGCACCTCAAGATGGTAAGGGGGGCTGGAGAGAGCCACAGGGATGAACTCAGAAGCCAGCATGATGGGGCATGTGTTCCATTTCTATATAAATTACTACTGACAGTTGGCTTCGTTTAAAGCTAGAATATCCACCATTATCTCAGATCCCTGAGGTACCCTGACTTCTTGGCATCTGCTTGAGAATGCAGACCCATCTCAGAAGCTTGAAGTGTGTCCTTTCCTTAACACTGGAACATAGGTGGTTATCCTGTCATGGGCACTTCCTTCTTAATTGCTCTGTGACCATTTAGGAGCCCAGTTTAACCAAAGTAGGTGATCTTTTGAGAGCATTTATATATATTGTCAGCATCATGGGCCCCCTGGGCTAGTGCTGTTTCATATCTACGAAGACCCCTGGAGAGGTCCTAAATGCATCCTGGGTCTTGAGGAAGCCACAGCCCCACCAAGCTCAGGTCCATAAATCCCAGCCACGCTGAGCTTCCATTTGTTTCCACAGCCCCCGCATTCTGCTGGCTGTGCTTCATCCACCGGCAGACTCCCCCTCTTCTGCACTGCTTACTCCCTGCTCCTGTAGTCTGACAGCTTCAGAAAGGTACAGTTGCTATGGCAATGC